ATCTTAAAAATATGTTAAGTGGGGTGTGATGGCGCCTGCCCTATGGCAAAAAACATGTTAAGTGGGGCCAGCAAGTGCTGTAGTGGTTGAAGCACTGGACTCCACACGGTCCACTGGAGTTCGAGTCCCAGACCCAACAGCTTAAGACTCACGCCAGGCATGTGCGTGTGTGTTCAAGATCCTGAAAAGAGGATGGTGGAGAAGAGAATGCAGTGTGGCCATCCCCTCTGGGGGGTGATTTCTTGCTTTCTATCCCTCTATTTCTCTTTGCCTCTCCCACACGCCCTGTAGCAAAAAACCTCTCAAAATAATAAAACGTGCTAAGTGAAATAAATGAGACAAATACAAAATACTGTGTGATCCCACTTATATGAGGTACCTAGAATAGGCAAATTTGTAGAGAGTAGGAGAAAAGTTATTTGGGAGAGGAAAGGGAGAAATGAGAAGTTAAATTTGAATTAATAGATACAGAGTTTAGAATAATAAGAGAGTTCTGAAAATAGATGGTGTTGATGGCCATAAAACACTGTGAATTTAATGCCACTGAATTCTATAACTAAAAATGGTTAAAACTGTAAATTTTATGTTATATATACATTACTACGATCATTTTTTTTTTTTTGGCTAGAGGATATGTACACTCACAGAGACAGAAGAGAAAGCACTACCCCCATAGGAAATGGTCATGCTACAATCCCTCCCCTTCCATCTCTTCCTCCTTTTGGGATGTTGGGTATACACACTCACACATTTGACATGTTTCTCAAGCCACCACATCTAGGACTCAAACTATTAGGTAGGCCGTATGGGATCTGGCTGAGCCAGCCCTACGATAATTTTTTTTTTTTTAATTACAAATGTAACCTACATGTCAAGGATCCTTACAGCCAAACAACATAAAAGAATCCTAAGAAACAAAATATCACTTCTAAACTAACTGACAAGGGAGAAAATGGGATAAAATATCAGACACTTCAAAGATTTTAAGTACTTAAAGAGGGCAACAAAAACAATTCCAACCTGTGGCTTTGTTTCTTTAAAACAGATATTACATTTTGAGGTTAAAAATCTTTTTTTTTTTTTTAAAGAAGTTTTTGCCTTAAGGATTGTGCGCTCACCCAAGAGAGACAGAGAGAGCGAAAGAGAGACAGCGAGTAAATGAGAAATCACCCCCAGGGGGGGATGGCCACACTGCAATCCTTTCTCCTCTATTCTCCTCCTGAGGTCTTGGACATGCACGTACACGTGTTTGGTATGAGTTTCAAGCCACTGGGTCCGGGATTCAAACCCCAGTTGGCTGTGTGGGAGTCCAGTGACATAACTGCTACACTGCCAAAAAAAAAAGCCTTCAGAACTTTTCCTGTTTTTGGTGTAAGCTTATAGTACTTAGGCAGATACCAACAAAACTTTTGTACCTTAGAGCTGCAATCATCGAAACGAACTTGGTATCCTACTTTGGATCCCAAAGTACATTTCATTTCTTCAGCAACCCTCTGAGCCACTGATATGGCAGCTACTTTTCGTGGTTGAGTCACACCAATCATTCCATGTTGTGAAAACCCTACAAAAGCAGAGGCATAAAACACAATGTTAGTAACTGTTTCTTCCTAGTAAAGCTAAATTGTTTCTAGTCAATCAACACAAATTTCTTGAGTATTTGCAGAAGAAAATCCTACAACTTAATAACATATTGTATAATGTTTTAACCATGGAAATTTAAATAGTAATTAAGAACAATTTTTTTTATATATGTGTGAATTGGTTTTTTGTTTTTTTTTGTTTTTTGGGGGTTTTTTGCTATAGGGTACATGTACTCAGAGAGAAACAGAGAAAGAGAAAGCACCTCCCCAGGGTGAGAATAAAGTCCAAAGGCTAGGAGGCTAGGAGTAACAACAATAATATCCATACAACAGCTAAAGTAAAAAAAGGAAAAATCTGCAGAGGTGACCACTAGGAAGGCAAAGATAGTATTTTGGGGAAAGTCACTCTGTGCACATTTGACGGCCAAGTAACAATCCCTTCTCCCCCATTTTTCCCTCCTTTTGGGATTTTGAGTATGCACATACATACATGTGCCAGGAGTGTTTCTCAAGCTACAGACTTAAACCACACACTGGCCATGTAGGATCCAGTTACCCCAACCATAGCACTGGCTAGCCCAAGAGCATATACTAATAACCATTCAAATGTACATATTTGGGCCAGCCGGTGGGGTAGTGGTTAAGGGAGGTGGATCCCATATGGCCAACCAACCAGTTCCAATCCTGGACCCAGCAGCTTGAGAAATATACTGGGTGTGTGTGCATGTGTGGCCAAAATCCCGAAAGGAAGTAGAAATGAAGAAGGGACTATGGCATGGCCATCTCCTGTGGGAGATGCTTTCTTACTTTCTTTGTCTCTCTCTCTCTCTCTGGCAAGCATACACAACCTAAATAAAAAAATTTTAAAGTAGTATGTCTTGATGGCATGCTAGATTTGATGAACTAGAATAAATTACTATAAGTTAAGAAACTGAGTTTTGTGTGTGTGTGACTCATAGCCAATATAATTTTGTTACTCACCTTTACAATAGAAAGTTTAGTCACACTGAAAGGAAAGACACTTTAAGGGTAATATGTTATCTGACTTAGTGCCAGCAGGGTCAAACTGGGGCCGGGGTGGGGGTGGAATGGAGGTTATCTGGTAATGCTCTGAAGAACCAAGAAATAATGTCAGCAAAAGATATCAACATACCCCTTTCCTTTCAAAATACTTCAATCTCCGCCAATGCTTAATAGTCTACTCTAAGATAACTTAACCCTATGAAAGAAATTACTATCTTTCTGTATTCTTATTTTCTTTTTCTTTTGTCTTTTTTTAAATTTCATTTTCTTTTATAAATTCAATCACATTATTTAACTTACAAAGTGAATATTTCAGTATATGAATATTTCTCCCTAGTCCAGTTGATAAAATTATAAAATATCTTCAACAGATAATACCACATTTCTTTGTCCCGTTAATGCTTGCCTTCCTATTTTTCTTCTTAATGTCCTTCCTCAGGCCCTACTCTTACACACAAAAATATGGAACGCTTCACAGATTTGCGTGTCATTCTTGTGCAGGAGCCAAGCTAATCTCTGTATCGTTCCAATTTTAGTATGTGTGCTGCTGAAGCAAGCACATCTTTCTGTAATTCTTGCATTTGAGAGTAGTATAGGGCTAGCCCCATAGCCTAGTGGTTAAGGGAGCCAGATCCTACACAGTCAACCATAGTTCAAATCCTGGTCCCAGTAGCTTGAAAAACTGAGCAAATGTGTTTACATGCCCCCAATCCCATCAGGATAGAGAAAGAGACAAAGGATTGTAGCAAGACCACGCCCCTTGAAGGGTGCTTTCTCTTTATCTTCCCTTTCTGTTTCTCTCTGGTAAGCACACATGCCCTTTGGCAATTAAACAAAAAGAGAGAGAGAAAGATTACTATAGTAATTAAAAATGGAAAAGTTTACCATCCCAACTAATTCTTCACTCTGAAATAAAAGCATAAAGAAGCACTAAAGACAAAGTAAACCAAAAGACTATACTTCCTATTTGTATTAGCCTTAAAGAGGACATTATAGGGACCAGCAGTTAGCATAATGGCTATGTCGCTGAACTCCCATGTAGTCGACCACAGTTCAAGTCCTGGACCCAATGGCTTAAAACTCACGCCAGGCACATGTGCGTGCATGCCCAAGATCCCAAGAGGAAAATAGAGAAGAAGGGATTGCAGCTTGGTCATCCCCCTGGGAGGTGATTTCTCGCTTTCTGTCTCTCTGGCAAACGCACGTGCCCTGTAGCAAAAACTTCTCAAAAAAATAAGAGGACATTATAAAAATACTCCCAATATTTTCAATATTGACCCATAATAAAATTACCTGCTTCATATAGGTATTTTGGGAGTTGAGTTGTTTTACCACTTCCTGTATTTCCAGTAACAATAAGAAACGAATTGTCCTTCACAGCCTGAATAAGCTTTTTTCTTTGTTTCTGAATAGGAAAAGTTGGAGTAGTTCCTCCCTCCTGTGATGTGCATCCTTTCTCTTCTGCAATAAAAGAAAAACAACTGTGTGATTAAAAATCCTATAAACTTATCTCTGACATAAATTTTCAGGACTGAAAAGAAAAAGGCAATAGAATTTTAGGGCTGGAAGGAATAAAACCAGGCTTCTTGATTAAATCACCTGTGTACAGTTTTTTAGCAAGGGTTGATAAGCCCAAAACAACTTTTTAGTGAAATCTAACTTGAGTATTTATTAATTCATAACTCAGATCACTTGATAAGTAGGCCTAGAGTAAGGCAATGCATCTGCACGGATACCTACACAAAAGCACAAAATCCAATTTTTTTAAATAACAGAACAAAAACTGGGACACAGTAGAAAACTCTAAGCTGAATTACAAGCCACCTGTGTTTGCTTCTGATTCATGGTTCAAGTTAGGTCCCTGTTCAGAGTGACTGATATCCCAGAAGGCCAAGTGGTGGGTAACCATGGAAACTGGCTCCTGGAAACTGGCTCCCTTCATACGGTACCCAAAGGCAGGCTGGCGGCCGACGAATGTGGGGGGGGGGGATGAATGGGTAGAGAACAAAGGCTTTATGAAGCTGTTTAAGAACGGAACGCGTTTCAGCATTGGGGTTCACTTTTTTGCCCCCCAACAAGGTTCTCATCTAACTTGGTTCTGGGACCGCCTGCCTCTAAGCCAAAGTGCTCACTAGAAGCAAAGTTCGCCTGAGGCTCGGAGAGCAAGGAAAATGCTGCAGTTTCCTCTCCTCTCTTCCCTGGCAGCCAAAGGCACACTTTTATCCCCGAACCGCCCCCCACCCACCCCGCGGCGTAACTCCCTTAGGCTTCCGCAGCGTCCCGCGGACCGCACCTCTCTCAGCGATGCAAACAGCCGAGGGCCGCTC